CAGGGAGGGGGGGGGGCAGTTGGGGAGGGGATCTGCCCCATCAGACCGCCTGGGTCTGAAGCACACAGGGCCAAGGAGTCCCACAGAGCTGGGGGAACTTTGCCAAACCTCTCCAGCTAATTGCTCAGGCCTTCTGCAGGTGCCTCAGCCTGCTCCCCATGGTGTATGCAGTAGCACATCCCTGGGGCTGCTCTGGAGCAGAGGTTTGCATGGCCTGAGCTCAACGCTGCCTCATTTGGGCTAGTTTTCAAGCCCCGGCTTCTCCTCATCCTCGGGTGCTGCTGGAGCCTGGATGCTTGGCCAGGCTGGCTGGGTTTTGGCATGCAGCAGAGTGGGTACCCCACCTCCTTGCCAGCACTCCGAGTACAAAAGGCATCTCAGATGTGTTATTCGATACCTGCCACAACGGGAAGTGTCCCATTCACATCGGGGGTCCCCTGGGAGCCAGGGGAAGGGAAGCCAGGGCTCTATTGGAGGAAATCGCGCTTCCAACACCTTGCAAATGTATCTGTGGGAGCCTTTGTTTTCCACACACACACCCCCTCAAATAAAATGGGGCCGTCCCACTCATCCCTTCACAGTTTGCAAAGCTCTGCCTTACTAAACCATCCAGCCTCCACCTACCAGAGCTCGATGGGAACTGTCTGGATGGAAAGTCAACACAGCCCACGCTTTCGGCAGCAGTGTCCAGCCAAAGGGAGGGGCAGAGGTTACCACGTGTGCTCAGCCTTCAGCACTACCAACTTCCCTTCTTTCTCCCAAGCAGGGGAAGGCTTCCAAAAGCCATCAAGCAGAGAAGAAAACTGAAAGCTGGGAGGAGAGTTGGCAAGACGTGGCAGTGCCCCATAGCAGTGCCAGGGAGGTTGTTGTTGTTCCCTCCCCAAGACGTAATGAGGCTTTAAAGCCATGCTAGATGCCAGACGGTGCCCACAGGAAACATCTTCTGTCAGTGTCTTTACACTAAAACTTGTGGATCTTAATCCCCCACAGGTTCTGTGGGCTTCTTCCATGCCCAGATTCCAGGTTTGGCTCCTTCCCATCCCAGATGGACCTTTCCCTTTGAAGTCAGCACTCCTGGCAAATGCCAAAATAAAGCCAGATGCCCATCTCTGAGCATATCCAATTGAGAAAGCCTGGACCCACCGAGGTCCGAGGCAAGAGGTATCATCCTGTAACCATCTGGTAAAGACAGAGGAGGTCTCAAGCAGGTGCCAAAATTGCCCCTCTTCCTCTTTGGCACCTCAATATCTTTGGCTCTGACCCGCAGTGTTGCATCTGTGCAGCACAGAGCCTGGTGCAGCACTGGTATATCCCTGCTGCCGGCACCGGTACATCCCTGCTGCCAGCACCACTGAACTTGAAACCTGGGAGCTCTCCTTTCAGAGAAAACAAAAAGCAAAAACAGGCTAGTGTCAAGGAGCCTGTCTTGCTTTCCTGACCAACAGCTTAAATAAAACAGGATTTCATGCCAAATACTGGGTCGGTGACCAAAAGCCTCTTCTGGCTGCTGTTCCTAACTGTGGACCCCCACTCTGGCAAGTTTTATTTACACTCCTGTGACTTACAGAAGTGATTTCCACATCATGCCACCTCTTTCCACTCCAGGGAAATCTGAGTGGGATAGCTGCAGCCTTTGGAGGTGCTCACCCGCTGCAGAGGAGGGGCTGCTGGAGAGAGAAGGTGGCTGCTCCGTGTCAGAGCAAAGAACCCAGCTTTAATTGCTCTTCTGGTAGCTTTTGTAACAGCCTCACATGAAAGTGCTGCAAGCTCCCTTGTAACTGTGCTGTCATTATGCTTCAGAGTTGCCAGCCAGGTGAGATGTGCAGGGGCATCCATACCTCAGCACAAATACAGCAGGAAAGAAAAAGGAGAGAAAAAACTTACTGAAGATGCCGGAGACACCTGTGTAACAGCCCTCATCTCCTGCACTCTAAAGAGCCAAATGGCTTTTCGGCGGCAGGGCCACTCCCTGGGTACCCATCATCCAGGCTGTGGGGACAGCAGCACCCACTGGAGGGTCCTGCCTTGCTCCGCTTCCAGCATAACCCTGGATTGGGGACAGGATCACAACACTAGGTTTGCACTTGGAATGCAATTTTGGAAAGCCCAGCTCAGCTGCCACCCTTGGGTGGAGAGGAACCACTTCCCCAGCCACCTAGCTGCCAGCATCCCCAAACTGCATAGGAGCTGGATGTCTCCAAGGGCTCTACTTCTCCATCAAAACCTGCTAAAATTAGCCAGGGGTTCAGAAAGTTTTGGCAGACGAGCGGTTGCACAAAGCTTAGTTCCTCTGGCACCAGGCTCTTGTTGAACATCAGCATCCAAGCTCATTGCATTGGAGAAGGCTTGATGTTCAGTCCCTGCACCCCAGGTGCATAAAAGAAAAAATCCAAAGCCCCATGGAAATGCTGAGAATCGCTCCCTGATGTCAAGAGACTCAGATGAGAAGCAAAGTACGCTTCAGTCTACACCAGCCTTGCTGTCCCAGAGGACAGAGGAGAAGGGATCCCCTGCCCCATTGCAGCAGGGCATCATTTCTTCCTGGGCATGGGCCAGCAGAAATCCTGGAGGAGGTTACTTTGCTGTCCCAGGACAGAGAAGCCAAGCCCGATAGGATGCTCATCCTCTGCCTGCACAGGGCAGGGAAGGAACACAGTCCTTCCCAGCTTCATTCTCTGACCCTTTGTCCACAAACTGCAGTTTTAATTGCCACTGCCCCTGTCTCACTGCTTGGCCCCCCAGGCTCCTCCAGCCAGGGCC